TGCCAATCAACATCGTCATATAAACAGAAAAGGAGGGGACTTACACATTCATTTACCTCCTGAAAACAGGATCCAAACAACCACACTTAGCAGAAAAAGAATTGCTGAGTACATAATATATACATAAACTAGAAGCCCTGAAGGAGAGTAGGAGAGTGGTCACTTGGATTTTTCTTTTCTTTTCTTTTGAGATGGAGTCTTGCTCTTGTTGCCCAGGCTGCAGTGCAGGGTGCAATCTCAGCTCACTGCAACCTCTGCCTCCTGGGCTCAAGCGATTCTCCTGTCTCAGCCTTCTGAGTAGCTGGGGGCACCACCATTCCCGGCTAATTTTTGTATTTTTAGTAGAGACACGTTTTACCATGTTGGCCAGGTTGGTCTCGAACTCCTGACCCAAGGTGCTGGGATTACAGGCGTGAGCCTGGATTTCTATCCCACTTGGATTTCTATGAAGTCTAGATTGGTAATTGTTTCTGACCTAGAACAGCTACAAGAAACACCTTCGTAAAGGATCCTTCATTTCCTCTTAAGTTTGGATGCGTTTCCCCAGCCTCCCACATGCCAGTTAGATACTTTAAGTCTGCAACTCTGAGCCTCAGTTTCTCTGTACAATAGGGAAATAGGATCTATGCCTTACTGCATGTTTCAAGGGTCTAGATAAGACAATAAAAGATGTTCCTAGCACACTGTCTCATAGTATAAACCTAATGAAGAGTTATTTATTCTGCTATTTATGTTATTTTGTTATCTGGGACTGGGTCTAGTACTTAATTTTTAATGTATCTTCGATATCAAAATGTATACTACAAGTTCATGTGCTTGGGTCAAGAAAAAAATTGAAAGAAAAAGAACAGATACAGAGATTAATTTTTTTTTTGAGACCGAATTTTGCTCTTGTTGCCCAGGCTAGAGTGCAATGGCACAACATGATCTTGGCTCAGAGCAACCTCCGCCTGATGGGTTCAAGCGATTCTCCAGGCTCAGCCTCTGAGTGGCTGGGATTACAGGCATGCACCACCATGCCTGCCTGGCTAATTTTTGTATTTTAGTAGAGACGGGGTTTCACCATGTTGGCCAGGCTGATTGTGAACTCCCTATCTCAGGTGATCCGCACGCCTTGGCCTCCCAAAGTGCTGGGACTGCAGGCGTGAGCCACTGCGCCCGGCAAGATTAAATTTTTAAACATTCGTTTTGTGTGGTATTTGTTGAGCACCAATTGTTCTGGGATTGCTACAACACAGAATATTCCAGCATCCTAATTTTTGCTACTTCCTCCTTGGAGAACAGAAAATACCCTTGTATTTTATACCTTTCACGCCCTCATTGCCAGTGCACCTGAGGATGTGCTGAGTACCTGCTGAGAAGCCCTTCTGAGTACCAGAGCTCAGACCCAACTCCTCAGCACTGTTTAGGTTTGGACACACTTTCACGCCATGTCTAGCACTCTAATACAGTTCCCACCACCACCCGAACCAGGCCCTCGAGGCTCCTGGCACACTCTAAATACCTCTGAGAGTTAAATGCAGACCCTTAACAGGGTTTGAACTTTGTACTCTCACTCATTACAGGACCTTATTAAAGTAAATGAGCAAGCCAAATTGGTGGATTCCACAGGTTCCGCACTTGATATTCTGACCTACATCCTGCTGATACTAATAGGATTAAACACTGAAAACAAACCAGGTGGAAAGGATCCATTAAGTTTCCACCTGGCACCGTCAGGGGTCGTGCTCCATGAATGGTGCTCCAGAAGAAAGCCCGATTCACTCAAGTTCTCTGATTCTATTAAAAGTTGTCAAGATGTCTCTTCCTCTCTGTCTCTCTGCTTCTCTTTCTCTCTCTTTTTTTTTTTGGCAGCGCTAACAAAGAAGTACAAAATCTATAATTTTTTTCTTTTTAGCTCAAATCTTGTGGCAGTGACAGCTTTACTGTCAATGGGAGGGGAAAAAATCCCCATTTTAATTACAGTATTATAAATTCAAAACCCTAAATAACTTATAGAAAGTTTTCACTTAAAACGATGAAAGCTATAAAAGGACTAATCTATTAAAGCAGTCTATTATTAGTTATTTTAATATATTTTTCAGATTATGCTGATAAAGAAGGGAAAAACAAAAAGCTTGTCCCTAAGAAGTAATAAACTAAAAAAATCCAGAAGAGACAGATACAAAGGACAGGAATACAACAGGGGAACTCCCCCAACCCTCTAAATCCTGTCGAGTATGATCTCTAGAAATCATGCTGACATTTATTATTTTAACATTTGTTGAGCACATAAAACATGACAGTGGTAATAAAGGTATCAAATTTGAAGACTAAGGATGCTGCAGATTAAAAACTTCTCCAATACTTTTTCTTTTTTTTTTCTTGAGACAAGATCTTGCTGTGTCCCCCAGGCTGGAGTGCAGTGATGCAATCATAGCTCATTGATGTCAAAATCCTGTGCTTATATAATCCTCCCGATTCAGCCTCCTGAGTAGCTGGGACTACAGGCCCATGCAACTAATATTTTAAATTTTTTTTGTAAAGACAAGGTCTCATTATATTGCCCAGGCTGGTCGCAAACTCCTGGGCCCCCCATCCTCCTGCCTCATTTTCCCAGAGCAGTGGGTTTATAGGTGTGAGCCATCATGCCTGGCTGCTCTCCAACAGTTAATTTAGGGATAGGAGAGGAAATAAGTAAAGGGAGACACCCAGAGTCAAGGAGACAGTTAAAATAGACAATCCAGGCTTCAAACACGAGTTTAAGTTTTCTGTTGAAATTCAGCTTCAGCATAATGTATAAAAAGCGTATGTGACATTTTTGCTGCTTGTCTGATTTCGTTAATATCAGTGAGATTCAGAAAACTCCCCACAGTCAGATCAGTCCACATGCAAAAGGGGATTAATTAAAACAGTGAATTCACAGGTTGGGTATGAATCAAGTTCCACCGCTTGACTACTACTTTCCTTTGATTTGACTGTTAGTTCTGCTAACTGTGACAACTGTCACAAGACAAGACAAAGGAGAATGATTATAATTGTGTCTGGGTCAGTGTCTCTCAACATATAACCTTGGTTAAAGGAACTGGCTTTCTTTTTTTGTGTGTGTAT